CAAATATAAAAATATTTTAAATATAACTATAAAAATTCCAAATTCCAATTTTATATGAAGAATTTATAAACTGGATTAGTTTTATAGATTTGTCCATATCTGCACAAGAAGATTAACTTATCGGATGAGCAAAAACTTTACTAATTGAATTGATTGCTAGAGCTTGCAAAAATATTGCAGCAGAAATAAATTCTTTTAAAGAGTTAGGTAAAGTTGAAGTTCAATACCTCTCGATAACAAAAGAAAATGCAAACTACGTTAAAATTATTAATTTTTTTGAATAATTGTTGTTTTGCTTTCTGCTTGCGCTCGTTGGGGGCCCCCTACGGGCTGATACGGCGGTAGTTACGCTCCTGGTCACTGTGCTAATTACAAGTAAAAACAAAAATTTTAGATTATAGTTTAAATTTGTTCAAGCACTATTAAAAACATAGTCAACGTAATTAAATTATTATTATTATTAATATAAGTAGTGTTTTATATGAAATCTGATATGTCGAAAGTTACTATAATTACATTATATTTATTGAATATAGTGGAATTACGCACATTAATATTTCATATGGCATTTACTTTAAATATCAAACAAGTCATACAAAAGTAAGTGTTTCAATTATATATGACTATATGAAATGAAACACTAATAGCTTAATTAGTTTGATTCAAAACAATATTTAATATCACAATTATTTTTATTTATTATTACATTTTTTTTTAAATTATTGGCTTCCGCTTTACAGCATTTTTAGCCACCTACATTATTCATATTATTTTTCATCGTATTCTATACAATTCTTACATATATATTTCTTATACATTCATCATATATATACTATCTCTTCTTATATCATATGTCTTCCATTCAATTTTCTTTCTTTAACTCCGTTCAATTTTTATTCTTCTTCTTGTTTCTCAGTATGTTCTTCTCATCTTCTAAACTTCTTTTTTCAAAATTTTCAAAATTATAGGCAGTTACCGAAAAAACAACTTGCGGATCATTTATATAAATTAGTAGTTCAAACCAATTATGTTGGAGTTTTGAGGCAGTGATGGTTGGATTGCAAGAATCTGAAAAAAAAACATGCTAGTAAAGCAAACAATGGTATTGTTATTTGAATAAACAAACACTTCATAAAATATGGAAAAGTGCCTTGTAAAAGAGCTTCTTCAGACTTTATAAACCTTTATAAAAAAATTAACGTTATGTAAAAGCTATGAGCAATATTTGATCCTTACTTGAAAATGTGTACATTTTATATGCTATTATATGTATATACTGTGTTATATATATATATATATATATATATATATATACATTCGCTGAAAAAATCTGGTAAATCCTTTACCATAACTGAAGCATTTTCTTCAACTGGTTTAATTTATTAATTAGGCTTTAATTCATTTTTGTGATCTTTAATATTAGGCACTTGTTACTCCGAGTGATGTTCTCTGTTCTTGTAATATTCCAGTTGACAAACAACCGTTATATATTATACCTAATGGCTAATCAAATACATCTGAAGAGAAATGACAGAATTACAAATTTGTAGTTTAATTAATTTACAAAATATCATTAATTGATAAAACAAATCAAGTAACTTGATTTTCACTCATTAATTGATTGAATGATTATATTTCCAACAATTTGATTGATTTAATATAGTGTGACCTAGATGTGATTTTATTCAAATGCCCAGAAATATAATGTAACAATTTACATACAATTTTTGATTGGTATTTACTTTTATCTACTTGTTAAATTTACTTTTTATTAGTCTATCTATATCATTCCAGTTTGTAGTCACATGTCGAATGCAGATGCTTTCGAATTTGAAAAAGATGTATTGCGCTATTGCTAAATTATACTAATAACTATATTTGTTTATTATTATAAAAAACAATTCTCTGAAAGTTTTAGCCTTTAATATTGTCTTTTAGATAAAGCGCAATTCAAGGTTTTGGATGGAAACAGCATGAACAAATTTTCAAAAAAATTGCGGTGTCAAATTTTCAATAAAAATGACACAAATTTCTACTTTTAATTCATTTGTCGCTAAGTTATATCTAAACAAAATTATTTTTTATTTTCAAAAATTTTTCCATGCTATTTCCATACTAAGTTTGGTTGAATTGCGCACTATCTGCAAGTTAATATTTAGAGCTAAAACTTTCAGATAATTGTTTTTCATCAATTTGGAACCATTTGAGCCTTTGGGAGCAAGGAAATTCGAAAATGTCCATATCCAAGACCACCCTTATATATATATATATATATATATATATATATATATATATATATGAGTAAGTTCTTCAAGGGCAATACATCAAATAAAAGACAAATATTTAGAAGTTAATCTTTAATTTTTTCCAAACGTTTTGACATAGGATTTTATGGCATCATCAGTGGATCTACAGAATGAACATTGAGAAATTAATATATACTAAAAAAATCTAAAAAATTGATCAGATATTATATGGCTCTCTAAAAAAAATTTAATAGATAGTTCTTATAATTTTGCTCACTATTTCGAAATGGATAAACCTGTCTGAAAAATAATCAACACATATTCCCGACAATTGAATCATTCAATCGGTCGATTCGTCTCAAAACCTTCGATAAAAAAAAACGCAAATACACATGCATACATCCATTTTTCTTAAGGTATGCCAAAATGTTCAGAAGGTTTTGCAACGTAAATACTTAACAATTTCACTTACGTTTCGTTTTTCGAATTACTATAACTTACCCGTGAAGGGAATGCCAATTGGTGGTCAAAAATGATCAATGGACATATAAGCCCACCGAATTGTCAGATTATTTTTTACAAAAATTTCAATAATCAGTAGAAATTTTGTTTTAATTTTAGTTTAGGTTCAGTTTTATCTTACAGAATTTATTATAAACGTATATAAAAATTATATACAAACAAAGAATTAATTAAATTATCACAAAATAACAATTAATTTATTAATATATTATTTTAATTCCCGAAATAAAATCAGAAACCAATTTAAAGCATTTTGTATGTAAGATTCACCTTAATAAAGTTACAAAATACAAACAGAGCTTCAATATTTCTCCAAAAAAGAGCTTATCAATTTGATAATTTTTATTTTAAACACGATACATCAATAGAAATATTAATGAGGCGCCCTCGAATAAGTTTGATTAGAAAAAGAATAACATTCTATTTCATAAAAAATTATCTAGATCAGGATCAATTCTTAAGATAAATTGCCGTGACAAATTTTGGCATTTTGAAAAATTTGCCGCTCTCCAAATTGTGCCGGTCATGGGGTAATCCAGCTCTATATATATATATATATATATATATATAATATATATATATATATATATATATCAATATATATATATATATATATATATATATATATATATATCAAATATATATATATATATATATATCAATATATATATATATATATTATATATATATATATATATATATATATATATATATATATATATATATATATATATATATATATATATATATATATATATATATATATATATCTATATATATATATATATATATATATATATAATACTGGATTATGCTATAAATCGTGTTATTTGCGATTTATTCGCCAATAGGTAGAAATATAAAAATGAATGTTTTTTGTAGTTATTTTTGGCTAATTTGACTTCAGTTCTTCTCCGAACACTGTCTACCCCGAATGCAGAGCACTTGTAAAATCAATGACAATAATTTAGATCGTTTATTAGTATTTTCACACATTAATACATTCAAACGCTTGTAAATTTTGAGTTGAGATAGGTGTTTGCATATAAATAAACTGAATCGACAAATCTAGCAGGGCAAATTTTCAACGTATCTATTTTCGGGTTATGATATACGATTATTAGAGGTATTTAATTTAGGTCGAGTAACTCAAAAACTAGTTGAACTAAATTTGTAATGTTGGACTTATTATATTTATTTGTATTATTGTATTCGTATTTTCAATTTTTTTGTATCGCCCACAAGTTATTTTTCCTGTGGCTCTATCCTAAATGATGTGCGCGTAGATTTGTTTATTAAGGTAATAAGAACGTTCCTATTAGCATATGTACATATGCAATTAAAAAAATTTTTTTTCGAAATATATAATTTAGAAATCGTACTCGTATTATTGTTGGTCGATTTTATATTGTATTGCGATATCTTTTGAAATCATTATTATGATTATTGGTTAATAATATTACTGATTTGTTATGTTATAATTACCATTTTATATGAAAAGACGTACCAAAATTTCATTTAAAAAAATATTATCAATCCTCAAACAACCACATTATAAACTAGATTAACAATATTGACACGAAACAATCGAAATGTGATATACAGCTGAATAGAGTGGATTGAAATTGCAATTGATATATAGTATGCCCATTCACCATTGCTGTGTGGTTGTTCAAATTGCACATGTTACTTAATGGTGCGTTCGAATAATTTAACAGTATTTTGTCACGTTATTAATTGCAAATAGCTACATATTTGAAGAGTAGCTATAGGTACATATTCATACAAAATGAAAACGGGAGGATTTTGAGTTATTTAATTGAGACTAACAATCTATAGTTAAACTAGCGAATTACATAAATATAATAATTACAAAAGTCTTTTAGATTTTTATCATTTATTTATTGAACGCAATCAAAATTATAAGTTTATAAAATGAACATGAGTTGAAGGGATGAAGTAATTTTGTTTCATTTTTATTCATATATTTTTGTATTGCGAAGATGACGTATGGATGTATAATACATGTATGTAATGTTGCGAAGTGAAAATTAGTAGAAAATTTTCTATCAAAAATATAAACTTTATTATTTAATTTTTTAACAGCATGTCTATCACAAATGTACATACAGATGTTATACTTTGTTTTTGTTTTTTCAAATGAGTTATGGTAAACATATTTTAATGTTGATGGATAAGATGATATATTACATAAGACTTTATTTACAAAACTTAATGTTTTCCAAAACTGATGGAAGAGTATGATGATGATCCGTGTCCGCCCGCGAATCCTCCGTGTCCACCACCGTATCCATAACCGCCTCCGTAGCCGCCTCCAAGACCGCCTCCCAGACCACCGCCGAGACCACCTCCGAGACCACCGCCAAGCCCGCCACCGAATCCTGCTCCACCGCCAAATCCAGCTCCACCGCCAAATCCGCCACCGGCACCACCACCACCGCCTCCTACGGCTACTGGTACTACAACTGGTGTGGGAATGTTAACTGGGAATGGAGCAGCAACGGTGACTGGGTATGGAGCGGGTACTGGCACTGCCACACTTTGTGTGACTGGCACTGGCACAGCCTGTGGAACTGGCACTGGGACGGCACGTGGCACCGCCACTGGCACGGCGCGGGGTACTGCAACTGGTACAGCTTGAGGCACAGAGACTGGAACAGCTCTTGGCACGGACACTGGCACGGGTTGAGGGACTGGTACTCCAACGGTGCGTGTTACAGTCACTGGGTAAGGTTGTGGTACGGCGTATGGAATACCTTGTGTCACAGTAGTAGTTACGTGACTGCGTGTGCCAAGGGTGACTGGACCACCAAGACCAGCACCGCCACCACCGCCGCCGCCGCCACCTCCAGCGCCGCCTCCGAATCCTCCGCCAAATCCAGCACCTCCGCCGAATCCGGCTCCGCCGCCAAATCCACCGCCGAGTCCACCGCCGAGACCGCCTCCAAAACCACCTCCATATCCGCCGCCGTATCCTCCACCGAGGCCGCCGTGTCCTCCAGCGGATAACAGTAAGGCACCGCCTCCGTGCGTGCCGAGTCCGGCCAGACCGCGTTTCTCTTGTTTCTTTTCGGCTACATCACCGCAGCTCACCACCGCCAGGCACAATGCTAATACCTAAGGATAATAATGAGTTTGTGCTTACCTTCAAAATATCAGTTAATTAGTCCATTCAAACAACTATTCAAACTACTCTTAAACTCAAATTGATTACATCGGATCATTAAACGAGATTATTTTATGCAAGGAATTTTAGCGGTAGTTGAAAAACTTTTTAATTATCACAGATAATTTAAACACGATAAACGTTTGTATTAGATTAAGGATAAATAGATACGTACCACAAAAGGTTTCATGATGTATTTAGATTGACCAAACCAACTCGAATGATACTGCACATTGGCTGCATTTGCCTTATATACCTCGCGTAAGAATTTCACAGATTTTCGCACAGATGCACAAACACACGCACCCATACATAGGCAGCGCCTGAACGACTTTCGGTTAAGAGAACGAGAACGAGATCGAGATCACGCTGATCGAGTACGTGCATACATCCAAAGGGTTATTACGTATAGAGAAACATTACATGGAATGACCGAACACATAGAAAAAGCTGCAGTCGCTTATTACATTTCCCGCTCCCAATACCAACAGAACCGAGAGTAATCTCGTTGCAGGGAAAACATAATACATCCATATGAGAGGTGTAATACACCTCCTTGATCGAGTAGCGTAAGAACGCCCGAGATGTTACATGTCCAAGATATTAACATTTTCAGCACCTCACAACGACAAAGAAAACTAAACGATAACATGATCGATCAATAGGACGGCAATATTACATCAGATGTCATCCGCATTTATTCAATGCAATTTTTACGATTCTACACTAAATGTAATTGAATTATAAACATACTTAAGTGAGACAAGTGCGACCTCTGCCACCGCATGGGGCTACATACGCACTAAGATAGTTCTGGGCTGATTGATGCAAAAAAATGTACGTGGATATTCATATATAACAATAGATGAATAGGTAAATTTTGCTGTTGGCCACGGATTCCTTCGGATGTTTCTGCATTTTTCTTCATACAAATCATTTTAGGACGGCGTTTGTAATTGCATCTAAAGCCACATTCAGCACTAAAAAGGCCACCAAGTGTAGATTGATTTATACTAAATTAAACGAATAATATTTACTTCTAATATATTGAATGTCATATTTTTTGAGAACAGAATTCAACAAACGAATGCAAATTTCTTGCACTTCCCGTACAGTAATTCAAAATTTGGAAAGCTCAAAGAAAAAAAGATCTATTTTGAAAATTTGATATTTTGAAAATTTTGAGAACGTTTGAAAAATTTGGTTTTTGAAGAATGCATTTCTTAAAAATACTGATATATTTTGAAAATTCGAAAATTTTGAAAACTGAATTTTTTTAAATTTTTTCTGGTGAAAGTTTTGAAGTTTTTGATACCAAGTCATGTCGGAATCATACCTTCAAAAATATCTATTTTTTGACCGCCAAATATCGTTTTTTTAATTTTCCCTGAATCTCCGAAATCGCTGGGCCTGCCTTTGCAAAAAGATAATCATTACGTCAATACAACAGGAATGCATTTTCGATCATTCAATTGGATGCTTTGTTCTCACGCAAACTTAATTGCCCTTTTCTTCATTTTGAAATTTGGTTACTGTAATTACTGTAACTTACTGTATAGCAATTAAATTAACAATTAATACCAAAACAAATGGAAAAGACATTCCTTCGGCCTATTGTTTGAAATTGTTTTTTAAAAATTTTATTTTTGTACTAAATTTACGAACAAATTATAGACTATTGCGTTCGGATATATAAATATAAGTTGTAAAGTAGTCTAAATACTCGTAGATACATATAAAGATGACGATTGCGAATTATAATAGCTACAAATATTAATTATTTCGGTGCATCTCCTGGAAACATACTTTTATTTTATTACAAGCACAACCATACATTATATAGCATTGGCAAACGATATAAAATAAAATGTAACATAAAAAACTGATGATTTTTTTGAAATAGCTGTGAGAAATTGTTAGTTAAATAAATTGAACTATGGAATAAATTAATAAAAAATTATTTCGCATAACTCCCTAGTTGATTTTTTCCATTTAAAAAAAATGGCCAGTTGCAAGATTTTAATCATATTAATTAGGATCATCCATGTAATAGAAAAATGGCTTACGAATGTAATGATTTAAAATATAAAATCATGAATGAAGCTTAAGGATTTAGTAAAAGTATACTATTTGTGGACACGAAAACTTACTATAATTTGGATTTGATAACTTTAAATGATTTCACAAATAATTACCATCAAACCTAGACGTCTAATCAATGGATTGGCATTCCTTGTAGACATTCTCAGTAAATACCAAAAAAATTGCTGATGTTTCACGATTAAATAGGTGCAAAAATTAATTTCAAATAATTTACAGCCGTTTTTACTTAGGTAACAGGGTTATTATGAATTGCACTTGAAACCTAACCTTTCTCCAGCACTATTGTTTAGGAAGTTTCTACGTGGGTGCATGCATTTCAATGCCGCCTACATCTTACACATTTTAAAATTCTATAAAAAATCATTTATACACAATTTGGTAGAAATTAGTACTATTGAATTATTTATATATATTAAAAATATTCAAATATTTAGGTGCTTCCCATGGTCATTATTTTATATTTAAAACTGTAAGCAAATACTTTTTGCAAAGTTTTTACTAATTTGCAGCGCCGAATATTTATTCCAGTTAATCAGAATTATGGTAAATAATATTTAATAAGGTGACCATATTTTTTACACCAAAACCGAGACAACAATTATTAGTTATGTTAATCTCGGACAAGTTGGGTAATGGGGTGTCATTTATGTTAAATATCTATAAATATAAAAATGATTTACAATAACGAATACAATAGGAATACAATAAAAATCTGTTTTTTTAATGATCCAATGTTTTTTAATAAAAATAACTTAGTATAGGTTTCATTTTTTTTTCAATTGTATTTAATACATTATTGCTTTTAAATCTTGTATAAAATTTTGTTAAATTTTCTTAGTAAGTATCTTAGTATTAATTTCGAAATCATGATTTTTGATAATTTTCGTAAAATTGGGAAAGTTTAAAATTACTAAAGTTATTCTGCATTCATAATTTTCTCATTCATAACATATTTTATATAAGCATACTCATTTTATATATAATTTTCAAATATTTAATGGATAATTGTAATTTTATCATCAAGCAAAAGTTCATCATTGCAAAGTTCCAATTTAAACCTATATTTTTCGAAAATCCGAGGCAAAAGATCTAAATTCGAGATAAATATTGTTTTCAAAAAAGCCCGGGACACTATGTGAAAATTCGGGACTACCGCGGCCAAACCGGGACGTATGGTCTCTTAACCTTATATTTAAGGAAGTTGAATGATCTTTCTAAATTTTTAACATTATTCGTAAAACCCAACATAAAAGCACTTTAGTTTAGAATTACTATTTAATGTATGAATTTTTCAATAATTTGGACATCGATTTTGTATTATTTTATTTATAATATATAGGTATTGCATTATAAACATATGGTTTACACTAACATTTTATAAAAACTACAATTATCTTTAAAACATTTACTATACTTCAACAAATAAATAAATATAAAACAGATGCAAATGCATTTCATTTTTGAAATGCATGAATGTATCCCGCTTAAATTAATTTAGAACCTAATAAATAAATACTCATTAATAGTAATTGCAGCACATATATAGACACGGTTTGAAATAATTATTACTGTAATTTACAAACAATGAAAACATTAAAGTTTAATAAGATTTCGCTCTAGAGAAATTGCACAAATGATTCGTACAATATTGCATAACTAGTAGGATACGTGTTTTTGTAAAATCACGCTATAGTGCAATACATTATTGAAATTTATTTAAATAAAGATACTGAATTTTAGAATAGCTGTTATAAAACGATAAAAAAACATGCTAAGTTGGATATTATCGTAAAATTTAATTTAAAAAAATCTGGGAAAGAAATGTATTCCAATATTATTGTACTAGATATACTGTTATCGTATCAAAGACAAAATGAAAATTTTTAATATTCAATTATTTTCTGTATTATTTACTTCCCGTAGGGTAGTTATAGTAATGGGCCGAAATTTCAAGATAAAAATGTTTGCATATCTTCACGTTTGGAAAATTTCTGAACATTATGGCATATCTCAGAAAAAATAGATACGAGTGTGTGTGTGTGTTTTGTATGTCCACATTTTTACGTTTTCCGCCGCACGGATCAACCAATTTGAATGGTTTAAAAAGCATTCGATTCCTATTGATAGGAAGATGTGCTGATTAGTTTTTGGCAAGCTCAGTATCTCCAGCCGTTACGGAGATACTGAGCAAAAACTGTATCCGATTTGAATGATCTAAAAAACATTCAATTCGAAATGAAGAGAAGTGATGATTAGTTTTTGGCAAGGGCAGGCCCAACCGTTTCGAAGATAGGGAGCTAAATGTACAAAAAATGACATTTTTTGAGAGAACTAAGCATCCGGTTTGAATGATTTCAAAAATTTTCTGCTTGTGTTGGGAAAACAATTGCTTTTGGAAAAACAAATTTTTGTATATCGAAAATAATTCAGATTATCTTGTTAAAGTTCTAAAGGTCACTTATATACATTAAATATATATTATCTTTGTTTATATAATTCAGTTTATATAATTCTTATAAATATTAGACAATGTTACAGTATTTATAGTAATCTATTTGGAAACATTTAATATTCCTCGAACATTTCGTTACGGTACGAGAAGTTCCAGCAATTTGCCTAAATGAACGATGACATACACCACTAGTTGGTTTTCAGCAACTAATCAATATTTTTTTTTAATTATTGTTTTTACTCATTTCGGCATGTGAATATGATACCAATTATCCTCAAGTATCGACAAAGGATATCTTAAAAAGTTTTAATGTATAACTTTATAAAAATTTTACCAAATTAATACTTAATATATATATATCAAAAATATTATGAAAGCTTTTTCTACCGATTCTTTATTTTAAATATTAATATCAATTTCATTTGTTTTTCAAATTATTAATACAATGGTATAATGAACATATATTAAAAATAATAATTCTGCAAATATTTGTGATAAGTCTAAGATATTCTTTATAAAATACATCAAAATATCTCTTCAGATATCTATACAGTGATTGACTCAGTATTGTCCAATAAAAATGAAAAGTAGAATTTTCCCAGAGTTTCTCTATATCTATTATTAATAGGCCATCAAATCAGCTTTATCGATA